TTATCATTACTAAACTTAGTAGGTAGGATTGAAATAAAAAGATGTATTTAGTATGTATAATATACTTAGGTATTTTTGGTTTTAATCAATTAGTAAGTATCTATATTTTACAACAAAATTAGCCATATAGCAGTCTTCACAAAAAACATCAATCTAATTTAAAGATGTAGGTAAATGAGCTATTTAATAGTTTAAATATTCTTAAATAACTTAGTTATCATAAAGTTCTAAATAACAAATAATTTTGTTGGTAGCTAATACTCTTTGAAACACAAAGCGCGCGCACATATATACGCGCACATAAAGCTAGAAATCTTAAAGTCACAAATAATCTTTGCCTAGCCCTTAAACTCTCTCTTGAAACTGTATTTTGTTTTTCGATATAAGGAACTAAACTTAAAAGTTGCTCGAACTCCTCTTCCCCTATTCTCAGGTACTCGGAATTCATTTGGCTCTAGAACTTTGATAATTCGCATATTTGAATGATTTCACCTAAGTTTTAAATAGTCTTTTAGCCATATCTTTCCTCTCCTCCTCTTTTCTTTACTTACTACTTTCTATAGTGATCGTTCTCCTTCTCTCTAACCTCCATGCTCAATGCTAACCTGAATGTTATAGTTATAGGGTTTTGGCGGGAACTTGGCCGTAGACGGATTGTCGCTCCTGTTTTGTCGCTTGCATAATGGTTTGAAGTGGATTTTGATTCGTAAATGTGATGCGATTTTGTGAATTAAGTGTCCGCGCGTGTGAACTATTAGAGAAACCGACGAAACAAGTGCTTTGATGTCGATATAAACCTCAAGTTATTTCGATCGCTTGGGCGCCTTATAAACTTGAGTGGCTGTCGTCATCAACTGTCCGCTAGGTTGAACTGTCATCAAAATGTCCCAAGGGCTTCGCAATGTGGCGCATTAGCATATTTTGAAGAAAAATATATACAAATGAAGTAAAAGACGTGTGGCACTCGGGGACTGCCGCGTTAAAGCTATTGCATAGCATTTTGTATCAACTTATGCAATTATAATTATTAATATAAGGACTAGGTAAATATTCAGTACAGCAAGATTGGAAGAAAAATGACGTCTAAATATTTTTTCGTATTTGGTAAACGAATAACTAGTTGGTAAATTAATCATGATATATATCTTTTTTTTTCGCCGGAGATTAAAATGATATTGCTTTTTTTCGTAACTGCAGATTCTGTGGATTTATTTCATTATTTTGAACAATATACGAAATTTAAGTGACTGAAATTAAATCTAATCTGAACCAGAATCATAAAAACTGTATTATTCATGCTAAACGAATCTAATAAATATCTGTTATTTTTGTCTCCTGCGAAAAAAAACAGACTATAGGAATCTATCGAATACCTACATAAACAAAATATCACCTATAAATAAAATATTACAAAGCGGAATAACTAATAAGAGTGGCAACATTGCACTATACAAAGGAATAGCGTAGGTGGCACAAGTCGCGTGCTCGAACTCATTGGTGGGCGCGGCCAAAAAGCACGTTGTCTCACCTGGCATCGTGCCACTCGTACTAAATTATTAGGCGCTGCGTTATCGCTTTATACTATACCTCTATGGCTCTATAGATACCTAATATAGATTGCTTATTTTATTATGTTTAGTTTTCCCCGGGTGGTCTTGCAGCGATCACTCAAGAGTTCACGACGCTGAAGTATTAACTGGAACAGTCATCGCAGTTTATGTCCGTACTAGCTGTTGCCAGCGGCTTCAAACGCGTGAACTCGAAAATTATCCCACAGGAACGAAATACCTGAATAAACGGTATCAAATGTGTTATTCCAGACTAGGTATAACCTATCTCTGAGCTAAATATCATCCAGATCCCTTCAGCTGTTCTGGCGTGATTGAGTAACATACATCTATCCATCCAAACTTTCGCATTTATAATATTTAGATAATAATTGTAATTAGTTCTGCCTACCTATAAATTGTTTTCAAAAATACTTACCTGTCTTCTTACTTTTTTTTTATATACACACAATATCACTAGATGTAAACACGTGTTTTTATCAAGACTAGTGACCCGTCAAGACTGTTTCCTTAGTACCGACGTACTTAGGCAGGTAGGTAGGCAGTTTACATTTTAGTGTCCACGACGCAGCGACAGTTTGTCAAATTTTGTTGTATTGTAGGTTATGGGTATTTAGGTAATAACAGTAGGTAGGTACCTATCCACCGAACCGTCAACGCCGCGCAAGTGATTCTCGTCCCACCTGTTCGCGCAGTAACATTTTTTTTACGACCGCTCGAGACTGTCGCAACAAAAACGATTACTACTAAAAAACTAATATAGGTACCTACCTAACATTCAAATAAAAATATTCTCAAAAAGCTCAACGAATTCAGAATTTAATTTTGTTAAAAGAAAATTGGTCAAATAAAAAATAAAGGATGAAAATAAAGCATATGGGGATATAAAAATAAATCGTATTTATTTTTTATTTCGAGTTTTACAAGAAAAGTATAATATTTACTGGAGACAATTATTTTATTATTATAATAGTACATGATATTCCCTTTAAAATGACACCAATATGAATAATATCTTATATCTATATCTACAAATAAATAAAATTGAAGTGTCTGTTTGTAATGTTAGAACAACAGCTTTTTATTAAATGCATATGAAAGTACTAGTAACAAAAACACAATTTTTAAAATTTTTATCTGTCTGTCGGTCTGTCTGTCTGTCTGTTTGTTCCAGCTAATCTCCGAAACAGCTGGATTTATTTTGACGGGACTTTCACTGGCAGATAGCTGATGATATAAGGAATAACTTGAACTACTTTTGTTTTAGAAAAAGAATTAGGGTTCCGCGCAAAAAAATTAAAACCCATGAAATCCATATTCCACGCGGGCGAGATCGCGGGGGAACAACTAGTACTCAATATAGATAAATGTATACTTATTTTTATTTATTTATTATTTTAATAAATAAATAAAAATAAGTATTAATAATTTCTAGACACATCTCAACAGATATTTCGTTAATAAATTGCTATCAATACTGAAGCATTCTTTTATATTTAGCATCCATTTAACACAAAAAACTGATAAGAATACTTTTTAAATAACATATAATCAATAAACGATAATCGCGTATAGTGAATTTCGAGGTAAATTATTATATGTAAACGTTTTTTAATCGTCGTAATGATACATATTTCCAAAAGAAAATATCTTCACAATTAATTTGATGTAAAATATCATTAGAAATAACGTATAAAAACGGAGAAATTATCAAATTTTTGATCGAGTTCCTAACCAGTACACAAACAAAAAAGGCGAAAAGTCATTATCACATTTTTTTAGAAATAACGTATAAAAACAGAAAAATTATCAAACTTTTGTTCGAGTTCCTAACCAGTACACAAACAAAAATGGCGAAATGTCATTTTCACATTTTTTTTCTATATAGTTATTTGTTACAGAGTACACAGATAAAATTCACTCTCATAGATGACAAATTTCAAACACCACAATCTCTAATTTTTTACTCTGCTATCTTCAGCGCTGTACACGAACGGAACGATGTCATTGAGAGCCGTGGTTGCTCATATGGTTAGCGCTCGTTATAAGTATCACAGTACGGGAGCAACCCGGGTTCGATCCCCACTGGCACCAATGAAATTGTTGCGTGCTGATTTAGCTATCATTTGGAAAGTCTGTTTTTCTGGGCCGTTTTGTTTTGTTACACTGACATCTCGCAAGTCACCTAGGGACCTAGGAGGTTGTCGGTTGCTTATTTTTTATTTTTCTTTAAAATTTTCGTCGGTAAAATAATATATTTATAAAAGTAAAAAAAAGTAAAGTTACAGCCTATATACGTCCCACTGCTGGGCACAGGCCTCCTCTAATTTCTGAGAGGGTTATAAGGCAAGGAAATGTCCGCCACGCTGCCTCAATGCGTGTTGACTAACTTCACATGTCTTCGAAATATATATTTTTTAATTTCTCAGACATGCAGACCCGAGTTCGATCCCCGCCGGCACCAATGAAATTGTTAATTGCAATTGTGCTGATTTACCACGTGCTCGGCGGTGAAGGAAAACATATTGAGGAAACCTGCACGTCTGAGAATATAATTATAATCGAATGTAAATCAAATTGACATATGTAAGTACAGATAAAATTAGCGGAACATTAATAAAATTTTGAGATCGTTTTTTTTTCAAAATTTTATTTATATTCCGCTATTTTTGTCTGTGCTTATATCAATTTGATTTGCATTCGATCTCTAAATTGTAATTTAATAACTGAAAAGAATTGAAAAGAAACGACGTTAGACAATGCACGGCCTTCAAGCCACACCTCCGTGCCCGTCGGAGTGGGGGAGCGTGAGGTTTTTTCGTTACGGCGGAATAAATTTCTGGATTCGGTCCCCACGCTCAAGGTCCGCGATAGAAGCTATGCAATAGCTTAAAAATGAAGAAAAATATATAAAAAAGCAGTTAGTGGGATAGACGACTTTTTCGAGGTTATATTTACTATATAAATAAAATTATTTTAGATTTTAGAGCTACTCAGCAGTTTAGCAGCACACTTAAACCGTCGACAACTGCTAAGTTCATTTCATCCCAGTAGCTACTCCAGCGCTGTTGTGGAGAGTTTTTGAACTGTTATTTACTGCTTACAGATGGCCACTTTTTCAACTATTCTACTTAGGGAGTTGGTACTCCGGGTACTCCTTACTTCTACACTCCATACTTCATGGCGTAGACAGCTTAGACAGAGACTGTCTACGCTTCATGGTCAACACGGTTATGTCAACTGTCAAGTCAACTTAATCAACGTCACATCATGACATGACGTCACAAGTCATAACACAAGTAACAGAGCTTTGTGGTCACAAGTTATAACTTTTTTTAATTATGTTTTAGTGGTATTTTTAAATTATTATAATTTAAAGTTTGAAATCGGTGTTTTAAATATATTTATGTGAACATTAAGAGATAATTTAAAATGTCATCTACATTTATAGGTTTTAGCGAAGAGGATTTAAAACTTATGAAATCATCAGAATCTGGCACGAGAAGCGGTAAATACAACTTTTAACTCTTTTCTTGTATATGCCCATAAGATATAGCTGTGAGATAATAACCTCCTCCCTTTAATTTCGATTTGTTGTTTATCCTCCACTTTGTAAAAGCATTGTTGAGCTTCGATTATCGTTTTGCGAATATACATTTCTTGTTTGTTTACGTCACCGGAAAAAAACTACTGGATGAACACGTACGATCACATCTCTGCGAGTTCCGTGTTTTATATTTTGCTAATTGATCATTGACGAAGAAGCAAAAACAAATTGCTTTGTAGTTTTAATATGTATGTATTTGGTTTTTAAATAAATGATATTTTTTGGGATTTTACAACACTTAATTTTGCCAATACGACACATACACATTATTGTAATTATTAATTGGCCATATCGATATACACATTTAAAGTCCTCCATTCTATCATGGTGGTCAGTCTCAACGGAAACTGGCTATCTGTGCAGGATGATGCTTGAGTATTTTGGACTCAGATATTATTATATATATTTATATTATATTTTTATTTTTACTATTATACACTAGCTATAATCATATTTTGTTGGTAATTTTAAATTTTTAATATGATATTACAGAAACATGTGAAACAAGATAAAATTATTAAAATATTTATTAACAATTACAACATTAAAACACAAATTTTGACAGTTTTAATACTATATGTTATTTTTTCATAATAATAATAGAAAAAAACATTAGTTTTTGGGTCTTAGCTCTATATTTAACATAGTGTTTCTCTCATATCTTTGATACATAGAAAGATTAAATACACTGTACAATTTTGTCATTGTAAACTACTTGCCCTGGTATTACCTTAGAACTATATTGGCATATCAGAGTATAACATGATGATAGTGATTAAGGTTTCTATTACATCATAAGTCCACTGCTGTGGGACTGCCCTACACTTTGCATACCATACCTGCCTCTTGAGAACCTTTCTTCGTTATTGGATATTGGTTAATCTAGCTTTTATTAGCGTTATACATTTTATCATGAAATATGAAAAAACACTTCCTTCATTTATTCATGTTGTTTAACTATATCTTATAAAAGAAAATTGGGTCAACATCTGTGTATGTGAGCTTCAAAAATTCCTATCTGCAGAAATAAAAAATTCTACATACACAAATTTCTTTACTAAGATTAACGAATACAATTTTCGGCAAATATATTGTTCTTTCTCAGACAGCAAAAATTATTTAAATTAAAAGCAACATTTTTATTGATATAATATGTAATCAATAAAAAGAACTTTATTGATATTATAACAATTTTATTGATATTGTAATCAATAAAAACATCGATTTAGTTTAATATTTCTTTGATTGTTAACAGATGAAGTGGATCCTGACTTCAGTTTAAAAAATATTAGAAAGATCGAGAAAATAGGTGCGAAACCTAAAAAATTAACAAATCAATATAAACTACCAATATTAAGAAAGCAAGATTCAGATGATGCTATCGATAGTATCGAATTTAGTAAATGTAAGCTTAGTATAAAAACGCCAAATAACCCAGCAGAAGAAATTGTTAATAATAATAATTTTGCGGACAAGAATGAAGATAGTTCAGCTGTTGATGCTCAAAATGTGGAATATAAAAGTGACTCAGCAGATGAATCACATAGTAATATTGAGAATGTAAAAAATAATAAAGATATAGCACCTGATATTGTGAGGGGTGTAGAAAATTACATGGAAGATGATTTAGCAGCTCATAAAGTAAAACTGGAAGAGTTACAACTGAAACAGAAATTGATGGAGGAGCAAAACAAAAAAAGAAAAGAGATGCTAGCAAAAGCATTAGCTGACAGGTGAGAATCAACTTGATTTTTGCCACAAATTATAATCATTATTAAATAAAACTAATGTTACAGATTTTGTCGCATTTAATTTTAACAGGACAAATAGGAAGATTGTTAAAAACCCATGTAAAGGAACATATAGCCGATGTGATGCATCAATGTTCCAGGAAGTCAGCAGTCTGTACAACATTTTCAGGATTGTCTCTACCATTATATCAGATTTGATAAACCCAAATTTTCGTAAAAGAACATCGACTCCTAACAAAATTATTTCGCGAGTCTATTGAAATAAAAAAACTAACATTATTTCATGATCTCAATAGATAAGATATCTGGGTTAGCACAATGCTAGCGCATTGAAACCAAAACTTACCATTGCAACAGTTCAAGATACTGTAAACTCCTTCTGCTTAGATTAGACCAAACATTCATGTACTAAAACTTAAGGTAACCCGGGCTAGAGATGAAGTTAGGAGGCTAATAAACACCTCAGTCACCATGTGTTTTTTTTTTATATAAGAGGGGGCAAACGAGCATACGGTTCACCTGATGTTAAGTGTCTTCTGCCGCCCATGAACATCTGCAACACTAGGAGAATTGCAGGTGCATTGCCAGCCCTTTAGAAAGAAGTAAGCTCTTTTCTTAAAGGTCCGGTCCCCAGGTCGTATCGGTCCGGAAAAATCGCCGGTGGTAAACTATTCCACAGACAGGTCGTACGCGGAAGAAAACTTCTTGTGAAACATACAGTGGTGGACCGCCAGGCATCCAGATGATGTGGATGGTATCGGGAGGCTTGCCGCGTAGTGCGTTCATGAAATTTGGCGGCTGGGATTAATCCAAACAATTCCTCGGACCCACACTCGGACCACTCCCCGTGATAGATGCGATAAAATACGCAAAGAGATGCAATATCTATTCGCAGCGCCAGTGAATCAAGCCGATCCGAAAGCACTGGGTCGTCGACGATTCGAGCCGCTCAGCGCTGGATGCGGTCAAGTGGAAGGAGCTGGTACTGGGGAGCCCCAGCCCGGAGATGGGAACAGTATTCCATGTGCGGCCGAATCTCCGCCTTGTAAAGTTGTAGGCGGTGTTCGGCGGCGTGTTGGCGGTGACGCCAAGATTTTTAGAGGCCAATTTGGCCTTCTCTTCCAAGTGACCACGAAACTGCACGTCACTCGATATATCGACGCCTAGGATTCCGATACTGGCTGAGGCAATAAAGGGAGTGCATTGAAACTGAGAAGATACGACAGAGGGGTACTTTTTCGCGCTTAACGCGCGTATTCTGAGGGTTAAACTGGACTAGACTATGTCCCCCAATCCGAGACTTTGTTCAGCAAAGACTCGACTTCAGACACAAGTTTGTCTCGGTACTCGGAGACGTTTTCTCAAGAAATATTGGTACGTCCGGTATACAGAGCATCACCAGTGCTGTCATCTGCACAGCAATGAATGTTGCCAGTTTGCAACACATCATTGATATGCAGAAGAAACAGCGTTGGTGATAGCACGCAGCCTTGTAGAATGCCAGCCATAATGGGCTTGTAATCGGAGCATGCACCTCCTACTACGACCTTGATGCTCTGATCAGCAAGAAAAGTGGTGATCCAATTGCACAATTTCTCAGGAAGCCCATAGGAAGGAAGCTTCGTAAGAAGCGCTTTGTGCCAAACTCGATCGAAGGCCTTCGCAATGTCCAAACTAACAGCCAATGCCTCCCCCCTTGGACGCTATTGCTGCCGCCCATCTATGAGTCAGGTAGACCAGAAGATCACCAGCTGATCGACCACGACGAAAACCGTATTGGCGATCACTAATCAGCTGGTGATCCTCAAGGTACCTCATGAGCTGACAGTTTACAATGGACTCCATTGTTTTGGAGAACAAGGAGGTGATGGCAATGGGCCTGTAGTTGGACGGGTCTGAGCGGTCGCCTTTTTTAGGGATCGGATGGACGAGAGCCTTCTTCCATGATTTTGGGACTACGCCTAGGGAGTAGGAGTACCGGAAAAGACGCGTTAACGCAAAGACGAGCACACGTTCTCAGCACAATTGGGGGGATACCGTCAGGCCCACTCGACTTGTGGATGTCCAGGGAGAGGAATGCTTTGCGAACCGAGCGCTGTGTGAACCGCACCTCCGGCATGGAGCACTCACACCGCGGGATGGTCGGCGGCGTACTCCTTCCGTCATAGAGAGTCGAGTTGGACGGAAAGAAAGAGCCTAGCAGATCGGCTTACTCCTTTGCGGCATGGGCCAGTGAGTCGTCCTCCCTGTGCAGAGATGGAAGAGATGGCTGACAGAAATTCCCCTGGACAGCCTTGGAAAGAGACCAGAATGCACGGGTTCCAGAAAGAAGGCGAACTATTTTCTCGCCAATTCTGCCTATGTGACTTTGCCTTGGCAATGAATCTTTTTTGAAGGACCTGGAAACTTTCTTTTTTAGAGCGCTGGTGTTTACATCCCGGGATGTTGATGCGTCAGCCCAGGCTTGATAGCACTCCTACTTATAGCATGATGCTATTTCACAGGAGCGACCAAACCATGGCTGAGATTTGTCTCCGATAGGCACCACAGAGGAAGGAATAAAAAGTTCCATACCCTGAAGTTCCGTATTAGCGACAGCAGCAACTTTGGGATCGTCCGGCGAGAAGCAAACCCGCCCCCAAGGGTAGGATGCAAAGAAAGACCACATCCTATCCCAATCAGCGGACCTTTAGTGCCTTCATTTCAATTCCAGGCACAATGACGCTTGGTAGTACCAGCACTTAAGAAGCAGCAGGAATTTGCAATTTATTATCACACTACTTTAGTTCAGTATTCGAAGGCTCCACCCAATCAGTACTACCACAACTACTTCAAATGTGTGAAAATGTGTTATCGGAATTCACTATATCGTAAATCTAATAAATAACTACCTAAATAGATTTACAAATATTTTTAGAAAATGATTCTAAATATTTCGACGCAGCTCTTGCATGGGGGTGCATGAGGAGATGTGAGCAGGTGACTTGATATTAAACCCAACCCTAGAGATTAGTGTGCTTTGTGGCAATATATGCGTGAAACTGACGTAAAAAGCAGTTTACTAAGCTTGTTATGATCAAGTATTTTATTAAAATGTATGAAAATAATGGGATTGAGATTTCTTAAAAATAAAAAGTAAAGTTACGGAGGGTTTTAGGTCAAGGAAGTGTCCGCCTCGCTGCCCCAATGCGTGTTGGCGAACTTCACATGTCTTCGAAATATTTTTTTTCTTATTCCTCAGACATGCAGGTTACCTCACGATGTTTTCCTTCACCGCCGAGCACGTGGTAAATCAGCACTTAAAATTGCAATTAACAATTTCTGTTATATTTACAGCGAGCGTTAACCATCTGAGCTACCACGGCTCAGCAGCGCGGCGGACACTTCCTTGCCCTAAACCCTCTTAGAAATGAGGGGGAGCCCTGTGCCCAGCAGTGGGACGGTATATAGGCTGTAACTTTACTTTTTTTACTTTACTTACTCAGTTTGCGATCGAGAAGAGCTTCGATTTGATCGATAGTAACGAAGTCCGAGTTTTGTTATCGCAACGTATGTTGAGATGCACTGTTACAAGATTTGTTCAAGTGTGATGATCGCTGCAGCTTTTCATTACAGACAGCAAGGGAGCGTATGTTTCACTTACCAACTGGTGTACTATCGTTTCTATGTCGAGTTATATTAGTGCAATATGGACAATACCACCTACGCTTTTTATCGACGTATTCGTCCAAATACTCTTGCTTTCCTATGTTGCAGCACTCGTAATGAAATATGCTGTCGCAACCACCGCATTTATTGAGGTTGCCATCTTCGATCATGTGTGTCTACTTTTGGAACAAATCCCAATACTAGGATGTTAACAAAAGTCACACAAGTAACACATTCGTAGCCAATGAACGATAGTGCGTAGCCACAAGGCGATAGTGTATCGTAGCAAAATTCGTAACATTTTGTATTCGATCTCCGAAGTGTTCCGAGCACCAACTATGACGCACGATATTCACTCAGGTGAGGACGTAGCTAGTTACTCCTTAGTCTCAAACGAATTGGCCAGAGCCCCACCGAGATTGACCGAATGAATGGATAGCAACGACCCCCACTTGATATTTGTGACTAATGACGCTGAATTAATATTTAACGCTACCAAATATACACTGAGATTGTGCTTATGGCTGTTCATATACCAAAAGACTTATTGCACTACCAAACACTCACTATATTTGATGCACTTTAAAATGGTATGAGTTTCAATGTAACTATTAACCATTAACGCTATTTTAAGATTATTTAACCACGAACGTAGATGATGTTTATCGCATTTACCACAGGGAGTGCTCAGACAAATAATTCGGATTATTTCCAACCACCAAATTCCACCAATGCACAATGCGACAAAATTTGGTATCGTCAATCCACACCATCTGGGACCCTTGGCGGTCCACCACTGTACGATTTACTAGATGTTTTCTTCCTCACACGACTTTCTTGTGGAAACGACTAATCGACCTTTAAGATAAGAGCCTACACTTTTTTTAAGATAAGCAACGCACCTGCAATTTGTCTAGTGTTGCCATTGTTCGTGAGCGGCGGTCGATGCTTTCCATCGGATGAGCCGCATGCTCCTTTGTCCTTCGATAAAAAAGAGAGGGATAGATTCGCCCCCCACCTTTTCCCCCCGCCGGTTAGGTGCGAAATATTTTTTTATATTAAATGTTAAAGACTAAAAAAATTATGTGATGATTTCTGTGAAAAATCGCCTTAATAGGGAGGCGGGGGATATATAGATAGATAGTGGTGAGTTTAAGTTCCGTTTCAGCTATTAACACAGCGCGCGGAAACGTTATTGTAAACATCGTCTATGTTACGTTCGGTCGTCTACGATTCGAGCAGCTCTTCGCTGGACGCGGTCAAGTGGGAGGAGCTGGCACTGGGGTGTCCCGGTCCAGCATTGAGAACAGTATTCCATATGAAACCGAACCTGTGCCTTGTAAAGTTACAAGCGTTGTTCTGGTATGAAATACTGTCCGGGCCTGCTGAGCACGTCAAATTTTTAGGTCAATTTAAAGGGTAGGCCCCTTTCCGGTGACGACGAATTGTACGTCATTCGATATGTTGACGCTGAGGATTCCGATGCTAGCTGAGACAGTAACGGGAGTGACCTAAATTGGAGAGATACGACAAAGGAGTTTTTAGGTTTTTAGTAATAAACGCGCAAACTAGTGTCTTCAAGGGGGTTAAACTGGGCTCAATCGGCAGAGCCAGTGTTAAAAGCATCTCGGTGCTGTCATTTGCATAACAATTAATGTTATTGGTTTGCAAAATTTGTTGAATGCAGAAAAAACAGCTTAGGTCATAGCACGCAGTCTTGTAAAACACCAGCGTTAATAGCATGCACGAACCGTCCTACTACCACCTTGATGCTCTGATCTGCATGAAAACTGGTGATACAATTGCACAATTTCGTTGATAGGAGGCCCATAGGAAGGAAGTTCAAAATAAGCGCTTTGTGCCAAACCCGATCAACGACTAGCTATGTCCAAACTAACGGTCAAAGCCTTGGACACTACTGCCTCCGTCCTTCTATGAGTTGGGTAAACTAGGGTCATACAAACAAGAGACTAATAACTGGTTACTAAGTTCGTAATGGTTCATTATTAAGGTTCTTGTAAAGGCATGATCCAGTAAAAGTTTTAGATATCGGTCCTATAATATCAAAATTCCTGTCTAAAATGCCTTGTGGTATTGTAGTTTATCTTTTTGTTAGGTTATTCCTTTCTTGTTTCTCATTTTGGGTTCGGTTTAAGTTTTACCGCTAGATCCTGCTTTATAATATTTAGTTTTCGAATCATATTGTGATTCTCCCTTGTCTATGACTCCGACCGGTAAAGGACTGCTCTCGTATAAAATGCCAGCGTGAAACGGCAGCGTAATATCGCTGTATTTGTGACTAACGAGTATCGGGGTACCATCTTCTTGGTATCCAGCGATTAAGCAGCAGCAAGATAGAATCTTAGGCCTCATGGACAAGAACAACGCATCTGCATTTTGTTTCGAAAATAGGTGTAGGTTTCTATGGGATATAATGTCATCCACTTACCTAGGGCGGATTGTGCGCTTTTATGTACTAAATAATTTGACAACGATATTTTATAACAAGAAATAAGAGAGTATTTTTCATACAGTATTTCAATATATTATGATATGTTTATACAAACTTGGCTATGGTATTTTTTTATTGTCTAATGCACATCTTATTAGTGTTCACATTACTTTACGAGATACACAAGCGTTGGTTATTATTCTGGCAAAGGTGTTTTGCTTATTGCAATATTGTATATTGTTACGATTGTAATTTTTTTAGTTAACCACTTTTGATGTGAGTTAGTTATCAGTCATCAAATTTATCAATACTTGTTATCAGACTGTCTATCTGTAAAACCTTCTGACACTCTGAACTACTTCACCAAGTAACATAGTTTATACTGATTCGTTGCGATAGCTGTTTTAAGTATGTGTGAGATCTTTTATTATGAACAAATGGTATCATCTCCTCACAAAAACAATATGGTAAATGTGTTTTTTTTTGTTCTATTTTATTTGTCCTGAGCGTCCTAATGTCTGTAAGCACATGTGTCTTTATAATTTAAATTATCATGTGTGAAATACCTTTATATATTAGCTTATTAAACGTGTAGTGGCTGAGTAAGAATATCCATTATCCAGTGTCGTCCCGTGGGTGTCGTAAGAGTTAACAGAGGGAAACAAATCAGGATATGGATGGAAACAAATCGGCTTGATTCACTAGCGCTGCGAAGAAATGTTCCATCTCTTTGCATTTTATTTCGCATATGCCACGGGGAGTGCTCTGAGGATTTGTTCGGATTAATCCCAGCCGCCAAATTTCAACTGTGGCGGAATCCTCTTAAGAGAAAATCTATGGGGGAAGCCCATGTTCAGCAATGCACTTCTATAGGTTGTTATTTATTTATTTAATTATTTTATCTGGTTGACCAGCAGTGAGTACACTAAAATTAATCAAATACATTTACAATTAGAGATTTGCCAATTATGAGTCCACAAACCTATACGTCTGAAAGATAAAATTTTCCAAAAATGCTAAACCTAAATTTAACATGGGTGTATGTAACGGGACTATCTTTACCAGTGGAAGGATGGCAGCTCTGCGCTCGCAGACTCTCCTCTCCAACATGGTGATTATGGGCAAATAATCGACTGCTTCGTTGGTCTAGTGATAGTAAGCGCGACTGCTTCTCTTGTGGTTACGGGTTTGAATCTCGAGTAGAGTTATAAACAATTATTGGGTTTTCCGTCATGAAATTCTCAATAACATCCCAGAGAGTCAAAAAGTTGGAAGTGTTTTACCGTAACTCAGAAAGCACGTAAATCCGTTGATCCTGCGCCTGATCGTTCCTCGTTCATATCGGATTATTATCCCATCGGACTATGAAAGTTAGGAAATAGAGTGCACCTTTGCTTGCGCATACCCTTGGGTGCTATAATCCTGTCCTGCGCACAAGGCTAATTTCCGTTGAGGCTGGCCGCCGTGACCGAAATCTCGACATTATTGTTAGTGAAAATGAGCAAATCTTCCAAGTATTGTGTGTGACAGATGGTGCATTCTCAGACAGACCAAGCATCAGTGGATCTGAAAGGGCTTTTGTTGAAGATGATGTTCTTTAACGTGGCAGAGCCAAGCTGCAGATATATTATGGTTGCAGCACGAATGTGTCGGCTCGACCGGGATAGTGAGTGAAGAGAACCGGAGACCCTTTATGCTTGTAACGAGGCATTCCATCACAGTTCTCAGGGATGACAACGCATCTCCATTCTGATTCTTAATAAAGAATAAATGTAGGTATCTGTGGACCGCAGCATCCACTTACCATCAGGTGGACTGTGTGCTCGTTTGTCAACCATATTCTATAAAAAAAATGCAAATATTTTTAATAAGTTTTTAACTTATCCAGGACCAGACAAACCGAAGAAGAAGTTATGCGATTGGAGAAGATAAAGAAAGAGCTACAAATACTAGAAGGACAATTTTCTCAAGATGTTGCCGTATTGAGGAAGAAGATTGATCAAGCCTGCTTAACCTATTCTGAGGCTGAGTGAGTGATTACTTTTTATGAACTTTTACTTTATAAGGGCATGTGTGTTTTTGAAAATTAAGTTTCAGGCCCGTGACTGTTGGGTATTTACATGTTCCTAACACTGCCTCTTCTCTTTTCTCTTGTTCTCTTTTCTGACAAATTTTAGATATATTTGGAATCAAAAGTTCAAATTTCTCGTTATTGGTGGAATTAAGCTGTGTTTAATCTATTTTTGATGGTAAATGAAATTTTCTTTTTGTAAATATATCCATTACAGCCTATAAAAGTCCACTGCTGAAAACATAGGCCTCCGCCATAGATTGCCTCATAGGGAAATTTTGCCATAGTTGCCACGCTCGGCGGGTGGGTTGGCAACCGCAGTGTTTTTATTGTTTTGCGTTGTTGTCAGGTCTCTGTCCATCTCCTGCTTCAGTTTCCCTCTCTTACGATACACGCATTGCGATATGGGTTAGTGGGTATTTTCACACAGCCACTACATGGTATATACGTATAACGTCACTAAGTTCACTTTTAAGAGCCGTGGTAGCTCAGATGGTTAACGCTCGCTGTAAATATAACAGAACGCGAGTAACCCGGGTTCGATCCGCCCCGCTGGCACCATTGAAATTGTTAATTGCAATTTTATTTACCACGTGCTCGGCGGTGAAGGAAAACATTGTGAGGAAACCTGCATGTCTGAGGAATAAGGAAAAAATTTTTTTCGAAGACATGTGAAGTTCGTCAACACGCATTGGTGCTGCGCGGCGGACACTTCCTTGCCCTAAAACCCTCTCAGAAATGAGGGGAGGCCTGTGCCCAGCAATGGGACGTATGTAGGCTGTAACTTTACTTTTTACTTTAATACTCCCTTTCTGTCTAGAAGCACAGAGTAAGGAGTAAGGACTAGAGGGCAAGCTTCCTAACAACGTTGAAAATGTATGCCCATTTTGATAGGGTTGTCACCTGATGAATGTGAAAATTTGAGGAATAAATAACAATATTGTGTAGTATAAAACAACATGATTTCGTTGTAACTTAAATTAATATAACATGTCTATTTATTGTACTTAAATTGAAACTAAAAAAAATTGTATTTTTTGCTAATTATCATAGTATTACGTCTTAAGGAATCTTTCTGTAGGGTGCTACAAGCACCACCACCAACACCAGCACCACTACTACCAACACCACCTCCACCACTGTCTGGCAATTGTATTATTTTCTCTCGAATTTGTATACATACTGTACAACTGTCAGGCATTAATTTATACAGAACCTTAATTAAATACTTATACAATATGTAACGTAATTAACGCACACCCTCAGACACCCCAATTAGTATATTATGTTATAATCATAATACATACACAGAATTTTTAGTTAAACATTTTTAGACCTAATTATTTATCAAATTAGTTATACAAATTCCGGAAGAATGTTGTGGTCACAGTACAAATCCACGAACGCAGACTTTAACATGCTTGAAATAAAGTTCATTTTTCTTTTTTTCTTTTTATTGAATGACAGAATTAGTAATAATACAAATAAAACTGCACTCTTAAAAGTCTTATTGCCTTAAGTTACGGTCCATTTCAGTTTGTTTTGACTGTACAGATTTAGTGTGACTGTAATTTACGTAGTTTTAATTATTTTTGGGATAAAAAATTACCTATATTAAAAATAATAGGAATCGATTCAGTAAACGATTGTGAACAAACTACTTTCTCAAAGTGCGTTAATTATGTTACATGTTGTATATTATTACGCACATATCACTGCGCTATGAATAGTCGCAGTGACCCGTTTGTATGTAGCTTCAACTCTGGTCGGTTTCTTTACTCATGTGCTAGAAGGTCGTCTGAATAAGTACCGCCATCTTACCTATTTGCCTGCCGCCAAGCAGCAGGGCGTGTACTGCTCTATCTGATGGGTACACATAGCCAGTATGATAATTGCATATACAAAACCGTTACTCGTACTCGTACTCTGTGCCTGTGACCTGGCCAGTGAGGTACTGCTCTTAATAACCCGCCTGTCCATTATAATGAGTTTTAGTCTTCTTCTGCATCAGTCCGTAACAGTTTACTACTGGACAGGTGCCTTTCTCGTTGTAGAGAGCATTATCCTTACTCGTCACGCTTGATTTGGTTGGCGGATTGAGGATCAAAAGTCAAATTCGAGGACTATACTACAAATTGAAATAATACTAATTTTTACGGAATTTATCGCGTATATTTAACTTTTTTACCCGACGTTTCGAGAGCTTTACAGCACCCATGGTCACGGGAAGGACTGAGATGTTCAACGTCCAGCTGTCATAGTTAACCGCGGTTACCATAGATTAAAATTTAACTTTTGTTTTTTTTTGAAATTAGTATTAATTATTATTAGTAGAAATTAATTTCAATAGAGAAGATGGCTGGGTGCTACCATCTGCTTGGGATCCTATAATAAATAAAATTAAATCCCAACCCAAGCATACAACTGCAAGACTCCATGATACCATAAGTTCATACTGTGTAGATCGGAACAAAAGTTAAATTTTAATCTATGGTAACCGCGGTTAACTATGACAGCTGGACGTTGAACATCTCAGTCCTTCCCGTGACCATGGGTGCTGTAAAGCTCTCGAAACGTCGGGTAAAAAAGTTAAATATACGCGATAAATTCCGTAAAAATTAGTATTATTTCAATGTGTAGTGTTCGCGTAAATATAAGAAATCATTAACTATACTACAAACTTTGTCATCGGTATAAAGTGGACGTGATTGTTTCCAGCTCTATACCTCTAGCCTTTATAATTACTTTACATCGTCTAAGGTTAAGCGAAGACGACAATAATATGACTTTCGATAGTTCTTGGAAGTTCATCAATACACTATCTAATCTCTTTACAATTTTAAAATCTTAATCTGTGATTCTCGTATTAATAGTGATGTTATCCAATTTTTTAATGTACCGCTTCTAATGGAATGTTATTAGAAAGACTTACACTTAATTTACAGGAAACAGTATTTGAAAGTTGAAAAGGAGTTCCTCCAGGCTAAAATTAACCTACAGAAGGAAAAGGAGAAGAAGGAACTGCTTACCGAGCACTTATGTGCCTTGATCACACACAACGAAACCAGAAAAGCGCAGAAATTAGAAACGTTGATGTTAGAACTTGCCAGTGATAGAAAAACTAGTGTTAATGAAGTTGAAACTCCAGTAGAAGATAAAAATCCTGTCATAGAAGATGGTGTTGATCAAAGAACTGGTAAAATGGTGGATATATCGAATGAAAGCTGATCAATAAAATAATTCCTCGTAATAAATTCTGGAATATAAGTATAGTTCTAAAATACTGCCAATACTAGAATGATTATCGTCTTGGTAATTTGATACTAATTCCCTAAAATATTTTAAGACTTTTGCACGTGCCTTATTGTTAACGTACAAATAGCTGTATATATATAAAAATTTAAATATAAGTTATCGAGTTGTGTAAAACATGACATTTTATTTTTAATCATTATATAAAATAGTTCATAGAGAATATTATATTTGAACTCACTTTAAATTATGATTTTGGCAACTGAGTTTTGCTCATAATTATTTATGTCGGAAGTATTTCAATAATACAAACCTATTATTATTAATGTATAATCAATACCAATCAAGAAAGTCAATAAAGGTTGGATAAATGACACTGAATTTTTTTTTGATATGTAACGTCTTTCCTCTCGCTTTCGCGCAATCTGTGCGAGTAATTTCGTGAAAAGGAACGGAAGTGTGTAACAGGAAGCCGGGGAAACGCGCGCTATTTGATATGACTAATGAGCGCGCGCGGTAGTATTAAAGTATGCTGTTATATAAACTAATTTATATGTGTAAATTATATTAATAAATGTATTTATTGTGTCTGAAAAAAGTGAAGATCATTGACGAAAAATGAGTAATAATGAATAAATCTTCGAATAAATATATCATATACTAAATGTATTTGACTTTGACTTGTGAGCCAGGAAAAGCATTTAATTGTAAATACGAATTTAGTAGACCCACTAAAGAACGCAACCATTAATATTAGAAGAAATATTGCTAGTTTATTTTATAAAATATTTTTATAAAGAAGTTCGAAAGTTTTATAAATTATCTTTATTTTATTATGTAATGAATATTTTTTTCTATTTCATTGTAGGTATATAGAAATAAAAGTATTATGTAAAATAAGAATGTATTTTATTTTTTAAATCTCCGATGAAAATTTTATACATAAAATTTTTAAGATTTTCAACATTTGTGCTTACAACACATATATTTACATAGTTTTGTACTATTGTATAAAGTATTGCTTGCATTTATTGCATTAATACTAACACTCGTAATAAAACATTCACAATTTAGAAGTATATACTAAAATATTGTATACTCTTGGAATGTTGCCTAAGTTTTACAAAAATGATACCTTTATAATCTACAAAATAAATATAACATACCACGTTTCAAATATAAACACGTGTAGTTGAATTTGCTCATACCTTAAATTTGAAACGAATTAACAATTAGTGAACGTAAACAAAACATGGAACATGGTTGCGCGCTTTTTATAATAGTTAATTAGGTTGCTGTTTTTTTATAATAGTTAATTATATTTTATTACGACTTGGGATGCACAGTTAAAAGATTTCGGTAGTCGGGACCAAGGTAACTTTTTATACGTGGTAGAGCCATGCTGCGTTTATTAGTAGTATAGTTGTAGCACGAATGGGTCGGCTCCACCGGGGAAGGACCACGCTCTCACAGAATACCAGCGTGAAATAGTAGCTTAACGCTGCTGTGTTTCGTATGGTGACTGTAGAGATCGGAGACCCTTTTTACTGGAAACGAGGCATTCCATCTTAGTCCTCACGGGTGACAACGCATCTGCACTTTGATTCGTAATCGAGGATAGATGTAGAAGATGTCTATGGGCCGCAGCAACTACTTACCATCAGGTGGATTCGGATCGTTTGTCACCCTATCCTATTAAAAAAAGTACAAACGAAAAAGTATTTTTAAACTTATTTTTAGAAATATTTCAAGCCGCCTGGTTGCAGAAAAAGTTGTGGAAGCCCTTATTGCCATTTATCATAAGTCGCAACGTTTATTACATGACGTCATTGTGCTCGTCACTCTTCGCCAGTCGTGTTATAGAATAAGGTGCAATGGAAATTATAATTAATCAGTATCATGATAGTTACGGTATACTAACTACGCTCGTTCGCACCGACATTGATAAGCCCGCCCACGCCTACACCGCAATTTCAATGCGTTTTTGCGTTCACAAAATTACAGCTTTTATTTTTTTAAATTTATACCGTCATGGTTAAAATTCACAAAATCAAACTTAACATTTCTCAATACTGTTTAATACCTTTCGTTGTTTACATTTCAGAAGAACGTTCATCGACATTTTGTGAAGAACATTCTTCTGCCCGTATGCTATCCCCAATTCCAATAGGAATACTTTTTATGATTTCCCTTCAAAATTGATTTTATGTTTACGTCGGCTTCATGTAATTCCTTCCGTTTGTCTCTTTCCATTTTAATGAGTTCAAGACCACGTTTCGCGGCGCAATGGTATCTTTGACTTAAAGATGCTTCAGATCCCTTGATTCGTGGAATATGTCCCGTGTATCCTGCTATCGGTGGAAATTCTGGTGATATTGTGTGATCTAAAACAGGAAAAGTAGCGGTCTAAAAGTGCACCTTGAGTAAACCCGCTTTACGTACCTTTGGATGCTTAAAGCGGATTTGCTGGATCTAACGGCACTTTAATTTGTTAATACATAAAAAATCGTATTACGTACGTTCATTTACGTTCATTTACAATATAACCGATTCACTACCTTTGTACTTATTGATTTCTCTGAATTTGTTCAGGTCGCGTCGTATTTCATCTCTGGAGTGTATAGTTTCCATTTTTGGTGCACTTCTTGATCGCGCATAGCTTTTGTTCAAGTCAGTTTTGCGTCTTAGCTCACGTTGATTCTCCGTAAAATCAGCCATGCAGTCGTCGGCCGCCCGGCCGTATGATTTGCCGTATCTAAAAATTATATAAAATAGTATCAGTCTGGTTACAGAATTGTGTTAGTTAAAGGTGAAAAACTTAGTTTCTAAACAATTTTCCGCAATAAACTTTATTTATGTATGCTAACTTTTTCTACTTATTAGACCCATAGATAAAGTTTGTTCATAGGATGAGATAAACAAATTATAAATTACTGTTGTTTCGCCTATATATTCAGTTAGGTACCGTCTATGGTTGTTGGTTGGTTGATATATTAATATTATTATTAAAATAAAATCTCATGTACCATTATATACCGTGGTTATATTTTACAACAAAGGTACTGCTAATGTTTTACGTCAGCCATGAGGAGCGGAGTTCAGCAATGGACTCGTTACAAACGGGTCAGGAAGAAGAAAAGGGAGTATCATGTTTTCTCAGGATAAACGCTTAAAAGAACAGCATAACTTGCTGAGCTTCGTATGACCGCTGACGTGAACCGTGATACTGGCAAGGAGATATAAATAACATTTTTTATACACAATTTTTCCTGAACTTGTGTTCTGTAACGTCACCTGTGTAGGCGATCTTCATTCATGTTCATACAAATATTCTTTACTTCATACGCGACAGTTACCCTGTTTTTAACATACTTTTAGCTTGAACCGAATGCAAAATGCTCGCATATAATTAAGAACGATTGTTTTTAACCAATTTGTTTTTTAACAAAGTTCTTTAACAATATATGACATTCTTCACTTAAACTATTTTACTATGACTTTCTTCTAAACTAGTACTTAATCGGTTTGAATAATACATGATAAATTCGACAAAATTAGTTAAATAAATGAAACAAATCTAAAATAAAACTTCACGCGAAGAATTGGTCGTAAAAAAGATAGCAAACTATTGCAATGCTCGAAAACTATGGTATTCTATGCGGTGAAGCATTTAATGTGCATTGAACTATAGATAATATCCCTCGCGTGCCTAGACAAAGGAAGATATCAAATCGAGACGATCGAAATATTGTTCGTTTGCCGAATCAATATCTTTTCAAAGGCTCTAACAATATTAAAACAATGACCACGCACCATTCGAATACGTTTGATAGAAGAAGATTGAATAATGGCAAGAATAGTACCCATGTTATAACGGTGCTATACATAAGCCATAGACGGGACAGCCAGCGAGTGGAAAAACGTTCTATTTGTTGATGAAACTAAAATAAACAGGGTATGCTCAGACAGTAAACGCATGTACGACGTCAACCGGACGATCCTAAGGGCGCAAATACACTTGGTCGTTAGCCCGCTTTCGGGTGAACGAAAGACGTTACTCGAATTCGGGCACTCGAAGCATTATTTACATTACATTCTTATTCTTTAATACGGGCAAACGACTCTGCGCCGGCGTTCGGTGAGGTACGTGTCTGTGTACACCGTGACAACCGCGTCGAGTATCTTGATTCGGGTGGTAAGTAACCAAAAGGAAGGCGGGCTTACTCGACTTCGTTCATTTCCACTTTAGTCGTTTGTCCGAATTCCATAGGCAATTTAATACGGGCAAATGACCAAGTGTAATTGCGCCATAAGTACACGAAACCAACATTAATGAATGGCGGCGGAATGTGATAACCTAGGGGTGTTTTCGGTCATGTCTGTCATTAAAAGAAATTCCAGTACAAAAATATACTGGAAGAAATTATGCTAGCCAACGCAGAAAACTTCTTGTGATTTGGATGTTTCAGCATGCCAACAACCCTGAGCACAAAAAAAAACACTGCACGCTCAGTAGCAGAATTTCTCGGATCACAACTTTATTGGACTGGCATTCCAGTTGAACATCTGGTGCGAAATAAAGTAAAGCGTGTCAAATAGACAATGTGTGAGAGAACTTTACGATGCATTTTTGCGAGGATGGAACTCAGTTTCTCTCGAAAAATGTCAAAAGTTGATTAATTGAATGTTTCGCCAACGCAAGGCAGTAATTAAGAGCCGTGGACATGCGATTTAGTATTAACACAGAATAAATAATAGGTATTAATAACTATTTAGTTGCTTTCTGACTCAGCTCATCTCTCAAATAGTTTGTTGATCGTTAATTATTTGTCCAACTTTATTTTTATGTACATAAACGTATTTTTTTTATTATATGCGAGCAGCTATGCAGGTCTAGGTAAAGAGACCAGTATCACTGCGACCTAAAAGATCTATTGTGATCGCTGCTATAGCTATAGTTCACTGCTAAGCCCTAT